TGCCGCAAATACAAGGAAGGGATGCAGTTACTGTCAGACATGAAGGTACAAAAAAGTCCAATTGTGTTTTAGGAGACACATGTGAAATTCCAAATTTTGAGGCACTAATTTTCCGCCTTGAAATATTTGCCGTTGCTTCAGTCCTCGCCTAGATTCGAACCGAGGCAGAGCTATGTTCTTTCTTCTTCACAGCCGCCTTTGTCTCAAATGTTTTTTTGTGTGCATTCATTTCAGCGCTCTGGAATAAAACCCAATGTGCAGATCTACGGGGCGCTGATCAACGCAGCCGTGAAGCGACTGAATTACACTTACCTCATAGAGATCCTTAAAGACATGAGCAAGAATCAGGTGGCTCCAAATGAAGTCATTCTTAACGTCCTGGAGTTTGCAGCCCAGTATCCTCCTAATTATGATAAGGTAAGATGATCCTTATGGGATGCGGTGGCTCAGTGGCTAAGACACTGAGCTAGTTGATCAGAAAGGTCAGCTGTTCGGCGGTTCGAATCCCTAGCTTACGTTTTGCAGAGATCGGCCTGGCAGCTCTCCAAGCCAGAGAAGGTCTGTGACTGTAAATCCTCCCTTGAAAGACTTTGCTGGATGTGAATGAGCAGAATTCATAGTCAATTAATAAAAGGTGTTTTTTTTGTCGGGACAAGGAGTTTGCTTCCTGCTCTCGGGAAGCTTCAGTCAGAACATGTCCGACTCTATTCTGATGCAAGGTGTGCTTTTAATAACTTGCATTCATTTTTCTTCTTGCAGTACCAGAAAAAGGATCATTATCTTGAGAAAATTGATGGCTTCCGAGCTTTCTATTTCCGATGGCTTAAATGGATGCCCGGGGAAGAAACACCACACCCTTGGACAAGATACCGATATAAGAATGTGGCACAAAGCAAAGATGGCACCAAGCTGGAACAAGATCAAGGCAGCCAGGAGCTAAAATAAAGCAAATGTTGGCCATTCATTATGGAATGCTGGCACGTTTTTTTAAATTGCTTTAATTCTGTACGTATCTCTTCACATGAACCTTAAATTAACCCCTAGGTGTATATACAACTGCAACCCAGATTTATCTGGAACAGTAATATAGTGTCTAATAAATACAATTTTTCTATTACCAATTCTTATTGGAAGTGATTAAATCTATTGTTCTGTTCACACTCTAAAGGAAAGCTTATACTTGTTTTGTAGTGATTGTGCTAGTCTTATCTCTAAGCCATTTTATTAGCTAGCGTGGGGAATTCTGGGAGTTGAAGTCCACACATCTTCAAGTCACCGAGGTTGAGAGATAATGGTTACAACTCTTCAAAGGAAAATTAGCAACCTAAAGTTGCAAAGCAGTGTTTGAAAGTACAGGTAACGCTGAGCAACATTTGGTGCCAAGATTCCTAACAATTTCTGGGAACATCAGTAGAGAAAACCTAAGAGACTATATAGATATACTTTTGGTAACTAAATAAAATTGGGCTTCAGCAAAGATTCCCAAAGTAAGAGATATTTTCTACCCTTTCGCTATCCTGCAGTCTCCATACCGCTGTTTGCATAATTAAAAAGGGACAATTAGTTTTTTAACATGGCAGTGTATAGAATTTTATTTCAGCTCCCTGGTTTCTTTGCTTGTAATGGGAGTTGTGGAGTTCTAAGAATCCTATATTTACTAATGATCAGTGTGTATTAAGGTAAAGGTTCCCCTCACACATACGTGCTAGTCGTGCCCGATTCTAGAGGCAGTGCTCATTTCACTTTCAAAGCTGAAGAACCACCAGCACTGTTCGAAGATGTCTCTGTGGTCATGTGGCCAGCATGACTCAATGCCAAAGGCAGACGTAATGCTGTTCCCGTCCCACCAAAGGTGATTCCTATTTTTCTACTTGCATTTTTTCCATGCTTTCGATCTGCTAGGTTGGCAGAAGCTGGAACAAGTCACGGGAGCTCACTCCATTACGCGGCGCTAGGGATTCAAACCACTGAACTGATCGACAAGCTCAGCGTCTTAGCCACTGAGCCACCGCGCCCCTTATAGTGTGTATTACTGACCCTCAATATTTTCAAAACGTTAAAGAGGATAAAAGAGGTGCCTAATTTAGCCCTTTTTTGCTAGAACTATTGCATGTAAATAATTTTTAAAAATCAGAATTATGCTT